AAGAAAGAGAGATGGATTCAATTGAACAAATAAATGAAGAAAAAAAAAAGAGAGAGAAAGAGATAGATTCAGATTTCAAATTTAGAAATTAGAACTTAGAACAACCAAAGAAGAAAAGAAACAAATTTAAAAAAGAAAAAAAAAAAGGAAGAAGAGTTTAGTACTTAAGCAAAGGTTGAGCCACCCAAATTTGAGCTTTGTGTTCATCAAATCACAATGAGAAAGTGGGTTGTTGTTGGTGACTTCTTTTATGAGTGATTGGTTTGACTTCTTTGAGAAGAAAAGGAAGAGATTGGGTTGCTAGTGAAGGGGCACACTAATGCGTGAAGTGAAGAGTGAACTAGGGTTTTGTTTCTACTTGAGGTTAAAAAAGATCTTTCTTGTTTTTTTAATAAAATGTAAGCTAAAAGACAATTATACCTTTAAAGAAGGGATCTGACATTGAACTTTCTCTCTCTCTCTCTCTCTCTCTTTCTCTCTCTTTCTCTCTTTTGACTTTTCACCAAATGTTTAAATAAGGTTAATAGCAGCCACTATTGTAAATTTACTACGCTACAGGTATGGTTATAGCAGATAGGTTATGGATTACTATGCTATGCCCGTTATAGCGTTATAACAGCCACTATTGACAACATTGCTCAAGGGCAAGCTAAACGGTATTTAATGCTTAATATCACCTTGAAAACATGAATACCCATAAATGAGAAGGGTTATTTGCATCATTAGTGGAATTGGGGGTTTCTCAGCTTCATTTTAATTCAGGAGCTTAAATGCTATTTTGGGGTAAGTCTGAGGGCTTAAGATGTTTTTTTTTCCTATTATAAAATGAAGTTATATTTAACTTTTTTTTTCAAAAAGTCGTTTGAAAAGCCCAAAAATACCCCTCGGTGTGTTTTTTCCGATGTTTTAAAAATCAGACCGGATTGATCGGTTGAACTGGTCAAATCAATATTTGATATTAAAAATGGTTCGGCTCAACATTTAAAACCAATAAAATAGTTGAACCACTCAAAACCGATAAAACCATTTAAACCAAAAAACCATTCAACCAGACGGTTTAAATCCTTTGGAGGATTTACCTTTTCTGTGACTTTTGCTAGTAGGACGTTACTCCTTCGATTGAAATTATTTGCTAACAATTTTCTTTATTTTATTTTTGAAAGAAAAGAATTGATGATACCA